ATATTGGGGTCCCCTTACTTTGGGAGACTAAGTCTACAAATCGGGGTGCCTCTGAGGGACCAGGCACCTTAGGCTTAGGGACTTAGGGATGTATGTGGATTATTCCACTAAATTACAAGGGGATTGGATGAGAAAATCCCATTTCTTTGTAACTTGCAGCCCTGAGTCATCTCCATCAAGGCAGCACAGAAACCACTGACAGCACATGGGGGTTTCCCAAATTAAGGGTGCCTTTTTGGCGTCCGCGTCATAAGGACTTTAGCATTTCGTGGGTCTAGATTGAAGTCCCCCAATTTTATGGCCGCATGCATCACGAGCTTTGCTTCAAAAGAAGGCACCAAGCACACCCAGATCGCAGCTTGGCATTGCGACCTTCTCCGATCCAACTCCAACATCAAAGCTACATAATTATATAATCCCCAGCAGGGCTCCCCAGAATCTCGTTGTCACGCTCTGATATGACCACTGGCTCGGATATTTATGGCCACTCAAATTGGACATCCAGTAAATACACTCACCAACATCCGCCATATGCACGCAGCAGAAACCAATAACACAACCCGACAGAACCTCACATTCTGTTGGGCCCCAAGCCCTAAACCCCTGACCCTAAACAGGCAATCAAAACCCTAAACACCCTAAACCCCCTAAAGCCTAAACTCTAAATCCTGAACCCTAAAGCCTAAATCCTAAACACTAGAGAAACTCCTACGCAAAAGCCGAGCCTAACAGCGGCTGCATTTCAGCGGCTGCTTCCATGGCCTCACGGACTGTAGGGTAGATGGGGGCGGCCTTTTTGAGGTAAGGCTTTCGGGCTGTGGGGTTATGGGGTTATGGGGGGCGTTATACATGGGGATAACGCTATGTAGAGGTAAATAGGATTATGCAGTGTTTCGGGTTTGCACAAATTGGGGGCTTTACCCCAGCAATAGAAACCAAATGGAAATAAGCTGATTACAGGGATCAGCTTTTTGACTACACCTGGAAGCCCAGGGTAACTATGACATGCCTAGAAACTCTACTTTTTTTTTATCATGTCTAGGACGGTACAGTAATAAGTCCAGGGCTTACAGCAGTTATAGGTGGTTGCAATTTGTACGCAGGCCATATTTAACTTGGACCTCAGCGTATACAGGGGGGTCTCCTATGGACATTTCCAACAATTCATGGATCTTTTTGCTGGGTCGTTATGGTGAGTACCTAATTTTGCAATTGTCGGAAGGGCCATGGACTGGAGCTCTAGGTTCACGGGACTTCGTAACTGTTTCTGACTAGACGTAAATATAGCCCAACTTATAGTCCCTGGACAGATAGATTTATCCCCATTCCAATAAATGCGGCCACTTAGAAGTTGCAATTTTCCATTAACCTCTAAATGGGTTCGATTTAGGCGTGCCCCAAAGGACACCCCCTTTTTTCAACTCGAAGAAGGACGCCTATGACACACATTATTGAGGGAATCCAGAGGTTCTGATGGAGTCTTCCCTGTCTGCGAGCCACTGGAGATATACCTGTGACTGGGCGTGCTTATACTCGCCGGCAAGGAGACGGCATAGGAGTTCCAAAGGCGAGGTGCCGGTCTATTGCAAAAGGGAATGCAGGCACAGGACTTGGCCAGATCAGCACTGTGCGTATTGACAATGCAGGCAGGAACAACGGCGAAACAAGCCATTGCACCTCCCGCTCCTTCTCCTTCTGAACCTCTTGGACTCGCTTCTGCAGCGCCTTGCTATGCAGCGTCTGAGAGTATGCGTGTCGAGTTGTGGTGGAAGACATGTTGGGGGCCATTTTGCTGCAGTTGCTGCTTGAGTCTTCGTATCATGCACAATGGCTGGCACCTCGCGCGCAAAAACAATTATTATGTTTTGATGTCAACTACTATTACTTCACTTCGCTTGCTCATGCAAGCAACTCTCTTTCTATAACCACGAAGCGATCACAACTTCACTCACAAGTTTGCAGCATGCGAGCTTTCTGAGGGGGTTCCAAATAGTAGGGGTCGTCTATGAGGACTGCCGATAAAAAGGATTGTTGTATTTTGGGGTACATAAGGAAGCTCCTTTTGTTTGCCATGTCCATCTCAAGCCCTGTGTGGTTGTGCTCGGCATGGGCTTGCTGCTACCATCCAGTAATCATTGCCTCCAACTTGACCGGATCTTCCATGCTGGGATAACCTTTCACTCCTCATCCTCCTCTTCGCTTGCTACACTACAGCTATCACCTGTCCACAGGTGTTTTATGCGGAGAAGGGATTATTCGAACCTGACGAACCCGCTATGCCCGCTTTCTTGAAACCGCACAAGCAGTAATTAGGAGGGGCTCTTTCTTTCCAAAGCTTTGGCTGGCTATCAGAAAATCTGGGTGGCAGGCTCCGTCGCTCCCATCTTAGCGAACGCAAAGACCAGAGCTCGTGCAAGTTACGCGCGATGAATTGCCATTCTGGGGGTCGTGGCTTTTGGGCGTTGAATGCTCTTAGCAAGCCAAGATTTCAACTTCGGAAGATCTTAGCAGGAAGCGGCACATGCCGCTCAAGCTGTAGCTGTCCATGCCGGAGTAACAGACAACCTGTCTCTCTGTGTTGCACATACCTCCAAAATCCTCCGATCTGCCTTTCGCTTCTTTTCCTAAATCTGCCAAGTGGTGTAAACACGTCCCGGCCGGGCTTTGACAGAAATCAACACCTTTCGCCTAAACCAACATGTTGATTTCGCCTCACAACCTGGCACAAGAATGCAATACAAATGCATAATACTCCTGAAGCCCAGATTGAGGACGCCACATACAAGCTGCTGCAAGATTCCCGGTTACAAGTCCAATAGTCCCTTCCACTTCCCTTCCCTGGAAAATCTAAATCCCATCCCCCTACTTTTCAATATTCTCGTATTTTGGGAATTAATGGCAGGAGTGTGATCTCTTTAAGGCTTTGGTTCATTGTTTCTTCTCGTCAAGCTGCCGAGGTGGCAAATGAGCTTGTGGTCTTTGAAGCTGAAGGCCGCCTTGCAACCTTGCCAGGGCGACTTCCTCCAAAGGAATATGGGGGTTTCCCAAAATTAGGGATACCCTTACTATAGTATTTTGGGGTCTATATTGGGGTCCCCCTATTTTGGGAAAACTACCATATCATAGGTTCCCGAGTAACCCCTATACGAATTATCCCCAAGAACCCCGAGGGAGGGTAATTGCTGAGCTTCTGTTGCTGCAAGTGCTTGGCTCGACGCTGTCTGGGATGATGCTCTGCTGTAAAGGACTTCCCCTACTATGTAAACGCCCCACACCCCTGGAGTTGAATCTTCCATATATGTCGGGATATTACAGTAAATACCAGGGAGGTGGAGGGTCCCGACAGCAGTTGTCCTGCGAGTATGTGTAGATGCGCAAACCCTGATTGTGGCACCTGCCCAGTTTTTCGCTTTCCTCAATTGGACACCTCATACACACTCACACCATTATGAAACCCTACATGATCGCCTCCCACGAACAAGAAACGACATCCACTCTCCTCCGTGATATTCGGGGCCCTGCGACTACCGGGAAGAGGCAGCTATTGTGAGACAAATAGGGAGATCAATAGCGTTTTTTGTTACCAGAATAGGGGTAACACTCTAGGGACTAAAGGGAACGCTGATTTCAGTCGAAATTCCTTTGAGTTTCTTTCCTGTTCTTGCAAATGCCTAGAAAATCATTTGTCATAATGAAAACGGTAAACAGCTAGGAAACCAAGGGAAACTCTTATTCTAACCCTTGAACTTCCATGTCGTTTCAAATCTTGTGTACCACCCCCGACCGGGGCCTCGGGGCAATGTCATCACATGCTGTCCCGGCCACGCCCGGAACTCGGACAGGCCTGCATCTGGAGGCTTGCTGGTGCTTAAGGGGGTGGAAGAGGGAAGATGGGTACTACTTCGGCGATTATAGAGGATAGGAATGATTATACGGATCCCCTGCCACCCCTCCCCCTTAGGCACCATACGCTCCAGAAGATTTGAGTCAGGATGCTTTATTCTGGAGGTTTTCAAAGATTACGGGTCCCTGTTTGGGAGTCCCTCAGGTAATGATTCTAGCGCTTTACACTTTGTGAGTTGAACTTGTCTTGGAGGGCAGACATGGCTTGATGTTGACTGGTGCTGAGTTAACAAGTCCTGCACCAAAACCCCCGTGACGACCCCAGACAGTTGCTTCTAGTATCACAAAGAAGCACCTGCAGGCAACTCAAAAAAGTTGTTTTTTTGCAAATCTAGGCCTTCCGTTTTCCAAGGGGCAGCAGGTATGTGACCATAACACCACCATCGCAAGAAACAAGCAGATTCCCAGGGCTTCGTTGGGGGAGTCCCATTTAAAGCTTCTGGGGCGCTTAAAAACTGTGACTTGCTCGCAGGCAGCTTCCTGGTCTTTGGTGCGGTCTGCGGCCGCATTGCTGAGCTAGGGGCTATATAGGGATGATGGAAAGGAAAATGGAAGCTACCGATTGTTTTAGGTTGAGGGCTCCAAGCTCCAACACTATCACTCCGCCTTCAACAACATCAGACAGCTAGCGCCTTTGAAAGCATCACAAGGCAGCTGGTGCCTCTGACAGCATCAACAAACATCTTTGAGATGATTGTCGTGTCTGTATCATGCAGTAACAGGAGGCAAGATGTCTTAGAGTCACTTCAGAGCCACTCTTGTGGCAAGAGGTAGAGATATGACCCCTGTTCCCGAAACTTTGAGCTCGCTACTACCATATCCTATTCCATGTGTCAACCATAGATCCTGCGCTACGCCATATCACCCGAGTCATACCGGCTATATTCTGATATTGTCAAAGCGACCGGCTGGATTCACATCAAAGCCCGGTTAATGGAGATGCAGGTGCCTTGCTGGCAAAGGCGTTTGAAGGTGTTGGACTGGCCCTCCAGCAGGCCCCCCATGGCCAGGGACCTGAAGCAGGCCGGATATGCCCGGCGTGGGGTAGGACATATCATAGGAACAATGGAGGCGAACGTAACTCTAGCAACATTTGTTGACAAAAGAAAGCAGACTGCAAGTCAAGCGCCCTCTGCACTGAGTCGTATCTGCACGTCTCTTTTCACACTGCTATCATGAACGTTTCTGCAGTCTTTGCCAGGGAAGGCAGGGTCGCGGGGTGCACCTTCCTGCGGAAAGCTCGAAAGCGCCCACCAAGCGAAACTGCACGGTCAGCTCAGATACGAACCACACTTGTGACTATGCCACAGGCATCGGTACATGTGGCCCAGCTGTCAGTTCAAACGAGCCCCCTGGGATGCTCACTTGTTGAACTCAGTCACAACAACACTAAAAAAGGTGATGCTAATAATACTTGCAGTCACGGAAACAAAAGTGATACTAGTAACGTAATAACGATATTAATTATGGAAATTAACGTTGCTTGGCCTTGTCCAGGGGCCTGAATCATCTTTTTTCGGGGTTTGCTGCCAAGTTGTGGCTGTAAGGTGAGACATGCTTTCCCAAACTCCACGCGCCTTCGAGAGGGGAGCTGTATGGCCATTACACGACGGGCCGTTGGATGCTCATGCTTGCTTGTTCATAGCTTCTGTAAAGAAACCCACTGGAGGGCATTTCGAACACCTAACACCTGGATGAATGGTATACACGTAGACTTTGAAATCTCTGTGCTGGCAGCGGAATTGTGGTATGGCCATGGTAAAGCCATAATGTGTGGGGCTTTGTAGCTCAAGGTCACTTTGGCGACCGACAAGTCAGCCCGAAAAAAGAGGCAGCTGCTCGTTCGCAGCTGCACCGTTCACCGAATTGCTGCGATATGGCGGGACGGTGCTACACACCAAAAGTGTCCAGGCCTGATCCAACGCGAAGCCCCTTTAAGAGCTGCGTCTCCAAAGATCGCTGCTTTTGCAGAACATCTTTGACGCTATAGGCTAAGCTAGTAATATCTGAGTTTGGCTCATTGACGCGCGCCCAGTTGCTGCCGGTCATCTCTAGTTGAACCCTACCGTTGGAGAACCGCACCTTGCATCGCGAGACACAAGTCTCGAAAATGAAGCGATTGCGAACGCATGCGATGAACTCGCTCAAGTCGGAGAGGTTCACCAGGATCACCTTCGTGTTGGGCATGTTGGCCATCATTCCAGATGCCGCTGGCTGAAGCATATTCAGAAGACAAACCAGCAACTCCAGTAAGCATGTGAGGCCAATAGCTGGGTTGCGAACAGCATTTGCCACGCAGTCTGGCAGGAACTCAAAAACAAAGGCCATGTCTTCGATGCCATCTGCAAGAAAATGCTGCAGCAGGGACGTACGCTCGTTGGACCCAAGCGTGTGCCATGCTTCCTGGCTACAGTATGCGCTTCACGCAGGGGTACAGAGGATCAACATAAGTTTGCAGCATACAGTAACATTCCAGACAGCTCAGGCATCTACATCCCTTACTTGCAGGACCTCAGAATCATAGGCAGACAGTGCAATCTGAATAAACATGCTTCGCGTCTTGTCCTGTAGCTGCCGGTAGGCATTTCGATCCTCCACGCGGGCCAAGCAAGCGAGCCGTACCAACACAAGGTCTTCTGGCGTGGTGAAAGGGACGTTCAAGACGTGAGCTCTGGCCTCCAGGTATCCTTGGCTTGGGATTTCGTTCTAAGACGCGAGAGGCTTGCCTCTTTCTTCCTCCTCCTACTGTCTACTCATTGCTCGAAGGCAGCTTCAGACGTGGACTTGGACCCGAAACTATTTTTGTCTTTTTGGTGTTTGCCTTTTTGCTCAACACCCTCTCTGGGCTTTCTGGAGGTCACAAATTCTAGCATGTGGAGCTCTTCGGAAACCCCAAATGCTGCAAATGCAACATTACAAATGTTCGGAGCGGGGGAGAGGGTTTGGGTAAGAAGGGGGGGGCCTAGCTTCCTCCAGCCCATGCGCACCACTTTCATGAGATGAAGCAAGACTAAGATAGATCAACACAAAATACCAATAGTGATAAGAGCGATGTGTGATCAGTGCGAAGAGTGCGAACATAGCAATTACTTTTCATCCTGGAAACAAGAACTCATGAGTAAGAATGACCATAGTGACAACCATATAAAAAGTCATGGTAACAATGGCAGTAGCTATACGAACAACAACAGCAGCAACAACAATAGAAATGATCATCGTCATTATAATCAGACTACTAATAACGGCAAAAATCGCAGCAGCATTGACGTTAATAAGCTTTAGAGTAGCTATAGTTATAGTCGTGACAGTGATAGTTCTGCGGATGAAAGTTGCAACACTAGTGACCGTAGAACTGTAGAGCTAAGCACTGACACCAAACGTAGAGTAGCAGCGGTCACAGAAAGACCATGACACCACTTATGACAGCAACATAAACAGCAACTGTGGCATCAATAGCCGTCATGGTAGCCGTAGTGAAGATACTGTCGCGGTGGTAACAGTGATAGAAATCCAAGCGCTAACAAGGTGGCAAAAAGCACTAGTAGCCAAAAAACAATTGCAGTAGCAACATGTTGCCACAATTTGCTACCTGCATTGGTACTCATCATGACCTGAAACTGAAGTAATAACAATGACACACAATGGCAATGACAAACTTGTTAATAGCAAAACCATAGGGTAGTACGTACACGTCTTGCAATGCAAATAGCAAAACAATAGCATGCGTAGCAGAAACGGCACTTTCGAAACAGTGGCAAACGTAGCCATAGTAGGAGCACTCTAGCCATAATACCGATAGCATTCTGAGAATGGTAGCAACTGCAATCATAAAAGGCATCTAAATTCTAAATGCAGAGCTACAGCTACATTGTTCAGCAGTAATGACAAGAACAAGCCAAGAAAGCAGACAGCTGAAACCTGGAGGCTAGAAGCATAGAGCAAAATGCAGGAAGCAAGGAGCAGGAAGCAAGGAGCAAGGCGGCGTTGATTGACAAGTGCATCCCAGCATCCCCAGTATATGCCACAAGCAGTGGCATCGAGCAAGTACTTAAGCATCCGCACTCCGTCAATGACACTTTCTGCTCGTCGCGCCGTGAGGAATTTGGAGCCTCTGCCAGCACCAAGGCCACTCATGAATCCCAGCAGGAAGAGGATGTAGAAGCGAAGCACGTCAGAGCCATTATCCCTTTTCACATTTTCCTGGAGCTGGAACACATTGGCCGGCACATTTTCACCCTGCAACATTTGAGCCAGGTTGAAGATGGAGTGAAGGTTGAGTGCACCCTTGGCATACATCAGGCCTTCCTCACTCAAAGTTTGCACAGACGGCACGACGTTCTGGAAGGAGTCAATCAGGTGTAGCACCACGCTTTCTGGGCTTCGCTCATCCTTTGGCACCTGGCTAGACACGATCTTTGACTTCCCCAGGGATCGGATGGCCAGGAGAACTAGCACCGCGTGAATCTTCTCCTGGCAGGGCGTAGGCTCACCTCCCTGAATCCCTTCCACTCACAAGGGACGCATCAAGTGAGAGACTGCTTCAGCGTGACGAGAGCTGACTATGTTTTGCAAGCCCTCTGCAGCCCAGCCTTTGTTGGCCTGATCCAACTCACAATGTGCTGAAGCTGATCCCATTGGGACAGCGACAGCTTTTGAGATTGCGGCTGCACGTTGGTGAAGATGTCATAGCGGTTGTGCACCAAGGCCAAAGTACCTTTGCTTTGCTGCTTTGCTTCCGCACTGTCTTTGTGAAAAACAACAAGCCAAGTAGTTAAGCTTGTACACTGCATCTGCAGCCACGGCGCAGATGCAGGAGGACTCTGCGCGATCTCTTTCTAGGCCCTGCTCAAAAAGAACGTGGGGCCCATGATCTGGGGAAATCTCAGGAAGACTCGTCTGTAGCTGTTCAGGCAGATCGGCTTCGGAAAGCTGATTTGGCCAGCCCTCCTCGATCAGCCAAACCAGCTCTGCTCCACATTTCCTTGGTTGGCTTTCCGAGCCGTATGCAGAAAAGTCTTGGTCTATCTAGGGCCGTTACGATTTCAGCAAAACAAGAATGGCGAAAAGCCTCGAAGCCAAGCTTCATTTCTGAAGTGGGCTCTTTAGCATCAGCTTCAACTTCCAGATTTGAGTCTTCCCATCTTACCGTCGGCGTTCGCTGAATTGAGTCAGGCTTGACAGTGTGTTCGACGGGCGGGACAATATGCGAGAGATTGATGTTCTCCAGCTGGGTCTCCAGGTCCGGGTACAAATCCTGGTAAATCTGGGTCTTCCTGCAGCATTTCTCAGAGAGCGCGCCCTGCACTTGGAGAGAAGCCCTGCCGCCAATCCTGACCAGCACGCTTTGCAGAGATACAGGCACAAGAACTGCAGACATTGAGCGTGAGTCGTTCCTTTTTCTGGTGTATGTCCTGGCAAGTTCTGACGTTTTGGCGAGATGCTGTGAGCCTCTTGTCTGGGCCTGCCGGTATAGCTTCTATTTCCACCCGGTCTAGATGGCATTGCACTTTCTAATGTCCAGCCCCCCCCCACCCAACACAATCTCGCTCTTCTGGCAAGTTTCTTCTTCACCGCCATCGTGAACTCTTTGGCATACTCAAAGAACATGGCGGCACAGCTGGGTGCATTTTGCAAGCACTTGACCAAGCTATCGCCATCCAGGGTGAACCTGGCATTCAAGGATCTTCCCGCGGGCGAATGGTTGAGTGAATTAGGTAACCTCTTCCCTCCATTCATGATCGCCCCAACACCCTAGCAGTAAATATTCCCCAGACTATACCATGGCACTATATTGGGGATATTTACGATTGGAAGGGGCGGGGGTTCATCATTAAGCGGAGGGGATGTCTAATTGTTCTGTGCGGATAGAGGGGGTTTACATTGGGATTATGATCGGCCCCTTTGTGCGCGAGCAAGATGCAGGAGATGGCTTATGACCTGATCATCCTCCAAACCAAGACATCCCCAAATCCAAAGATCTGTCTCCTAAAAACCCGCCATACCATGACCCCGCCGGTCCCCAAACCATGCCCCTTGCATGCAAGCTGCATTTCAGCAAAAGTCCTGGCCATCAGTGAAGACTGGTGCGCCAAGGCGTCCACATACAGGCTCAACTCTTCCAAGAAATTCACACCTGCCCCATGCTGGGTTTAGGGGCTTAGGGTTTCTCTTTTAGTGTTTGGGTTGCTGCAGGTTTTTCTGGTGGTGCACGCAGCGGCATAGTGCAAAACAACGAGGTTGCGCATAGGATGGCTGGATTTCATTGGGGCTTCAAGGGGAAGTCCGAATATCCAGCATATTTTAGCCTGGGTTTAAGCCGTGGCCCACGAGCTAACAAGAAGAATAACATGTATTTTACTTTCTCATGGATTGTCGTCTACTCCGCCACATCGGGCTCTGCAGCTTTGGCTCTGGTTGGCCGCAAAAAAGAAAACAAGAAGCCTCACCTCTCCAATTAGTCCCATTCATCAGAAGTGATTACCCAGCAGCACGCCTGAATTATTTTGCCTTGTTGCCTCCTGTTGCCATAACGTCAGAACTCCTGAGCCTGTCCAACCTTTTTCCTCTGCTGGGAAAAGAACCACTGGCCCAGCTCACTTTAAGAGCCTTGCCAACCTAAACCCTACATCCTAAACCTTCTGAACCACTTTGTTCAAGCTGCATCGGGGAATTTCAAGAATAGTGGCCGTAATCTGCCAACCCTGAAACGCTATTTGAGAGTCCCACACGTCAGGCCGTGGCCCGTGTGGCAGCCAGCTGGCAAACGACGAACGAGTCTCGGACCCTCCGAACCCCAAACCCTAAACCTTACACTCCAAAAACTCTAGGCCCTCTACATCCTAAACCCTAAAACGCGCCTGACATTTCTGTGATATCGCCCTGGCCGTCATAGCCCTCCACGTGGCTGTACTCACCTGGGGTTTCGAAACAAAGTGAGGGTTTCCTTTGGGGATCCCCAGAACATGGATTGCTGTAGTTTGGGGTTAAAATTTTGGGGTTTCCCAAAATCACGGACCTCGATTAGGGATCCCGACATTGCGGATTTTGTTTTTTTTACATGTTATAAGAAAGCAGCATTTTTTGAAAGACATATCCACCTGTGACCGTGATGTAGAGCGACGTGGAGAGCCCGCCGGCTACAAAAACGTCCTCCCGATTTTCGCAGACGACCTGCTGGGGACTGCAAGGCAACTCGCGAGCATGAGGAGCCTTCCTAAATTTTGGGTATATTGTAGTATATTACGGTATACTATGGTATATCATAATAGATTATGGTATGTTGAAGACGCCATCTAAAAGTTGTTGCTCCTCTAGGTCGGGAGCGAGGGGTTTCCAGAATTACGGGACCCGGTCTGTCGGTCCCTGTGTCTACAAGGTTGTGTCTGACAAGATTGCCTCTGGCGTATATGCCGGCGCCGAGCTACAAGTAGCCCTATGCTAGCACCAGAGGGAGACTTGCTGGATCTTTGTTGGGCATCATAGCGAAGACAACAAACTGATTCAATCCTAGAGCTGGACCCCCTCTACACATCAATTTCCTACAAGCCCGTATGAGCGCTGGTCATTTTTCGTCCCACATAAGGAGGTGGGGGGGGGGGCGACGTTTTTGAAAATAACCCTGCAATCCCTGCATGGGAATCTGAGAACCCTTAGTTTTTGGCAACAAAAGGCGCCTAAACAATTAGCAGCAGAGCGGTTCAAGAATCCTGGCATAATCATGGTTTAGGATGCTTGAAGTAGGCATCAACATGATGTTGGTAATCATTTTCACCTCATTGGCATTTAGGGAAGCCAAAAAGGATTATACACTATAGTAGATTGAGATAACGGAAAAGAAAATGGAAACTACTACAATGAGCTATATAGGGATTATAATCATTTAGGTTAGGCCCCCATATTTGTTTGTTTCTGGGACCCTGTCAGCTCGAATCGGCCTTGCGGAGAACCACGCAAATGCCAGAAAAGACTTCTGGCCAAAGCTGCGAGGTCAGGTCAAATATGGGGACCTGAAAGTAATTGTAGCAAGCATATTAGCACTACTAATAAGTGGTAGTAGTAGTAGTAATACTAAGATTAATAGTAATAGTAATAGCAATAGTAATAGTAATTCATAGTAGCAGCAGCAGTAGTAGTAGTAGTAGAATGATCTGGAGTGTTGGGATGCATTCTGGCCTTGTATGGATGCGACAGGTGGAATCTACTCGGGTATGAGACGAGGGGTGCGTTCAAAGAACTATTCACAGAGCGATGGCATTCCGGATGCTGGACGCGTAGCCAACTCCATGCAGTATATGGCACATCAACATCTCAATCTTAGTCAGGTGTGGTTCCCTTACACAGGAGTGGCAAGGATTTGTTGCAGAAACGATGCGGCAAACCAAAAATGTTCCGAACATCGCAGCCCAAGGGCATTCTGAATGTATCGAGCTCTCTGGTTCACGGAGAGCTCTGTCTGTAAGGTATGCGAAATCAAGCTGCTGTCAAAGCCTGGCCAAAATACATTACTTCCAAAGCCTAAAACAAGGTGATTTTGGTTCCCTGTTCTATATAACTCACCATCTAAAACCCCTAAACCCCAACACCCTGAACCCCTAATTTGCCCAGAAAGCTGGATGGCATCATCTTGTCAAGCTTATACTCCGCAAACTTCATCACCCGCGAGACAAGTTCCTTGGATGCACTAAGAATAGCAACAGCTTAAGGATCTAGAGTTGATAACAATGATAAAGTGATAGTTTGACAGCAGTAATACTTGAAGGTGCGTGCGACGTAGTAAGTATTTTCAACTGGGCTCCTGACACTAGTTAATCATATGGGTTGTTCTCAGATTACGGGCCCCTTTTGAAAGTGATAGATTACATTACGGCACCTCATGTCTAGGGTACCAAAATACGACCCTACTTCTGGGAACTACCCGTATGCAAACTATCTAGAGCCCATTTAAAGGAGCCCTGAGTAAAGATTCGAATGATGCATCTCAAACCTACTTTGTAACTGGATAACCAACGGGGGGTTATAAGTGGGTCTATAAGCCCGGTTATAGAAAACTGAAAAGCCCCCTGAAGCTCCAAATAGCTGAGGCTTAACCTTAAACCCTAAATTATACCCTAAACTCCGAACCCTAAACTTACGGCATAGGCCGTCGTCCTACAATGGTGGGCAGCGATTATGCCCCTCGCGCTCCGCTCGATGAGGCTCCCTTGGGACCAGTACTGCTTCACTTATTGTATGAATGGTGAGTACCACAAGCCCACCCCCCTGAGTTGCGGGCAGGGCTTGTTACTCCTGAGGGTAAGGGCAATTCCTCGTAGCGTGCTTTACACCTGCCCCCAGCACCGAGCCCTCCGCTTGAAGGAAGCATCGGTGGGGTACCAGGGGCTTTTTAGGTGCATTTCAAGGTCTACGTACCAGGGACTTGTTGCACGGGCTTGACACAAACCTCATAGAGGCCTCCCAGGAACTCGGCATGGCTCTTTTGGGCCTTGAAAGGGCATGTTAAGAAAGTCCCATTAGGCTGAGGCTGTCCCTTCTATAGGGCCTCCAACGAAACAGTGCTAGGCCCAGGTTGCGGAGGTGTAGGGTTTGGATCTAGCTAGATGTTGGTCCTAAAGCCTAAAGTGAATACGTCTGGGTGGTTGGGCATAGCGGGAGGCACTCGGGGCCACTTTCGGCTGACGATCACATCACATCAAACCCTAAACCGTTATTCTCTCAGGCACCTCAGTCCTGGCGTCAAACCATTTTACACCTGGAGCTGAGGCAGATGCCTTTAACTCTAAACCTATAAACCCTCTGCGAAACCCAAAACGCCCTGCATAATTGTATAACCCCATTATAGTAGTTTCCATGTTCTTTTCCATTATCCGCTATATAACCACTATATAACTGCAAGGGACACATTTAAAAGTTGAGGCTAAAACCCCAAACGCCCTGTAGAAACTTATTAGAATAGTTTCCATTTTCTTTTCCATTATGCCCTATATAACCCCTATACAACCCCAAAGGGGCCCATTTAAAAGTTGAGGCAAAGCTGAGTTTCAAAGGATGCGTCTTGGCTCTGCAAGTACTGGCGAAGATCACAGCGCTGCTTCGACTTTGCCTCGTTCATACTGCGGAGCTCCACCTGGGGTTTAGAGTTTAGGGTTTAGGGTTCTGAAGGTTCCCAACATCCAGGTCATATGGGTGGTTGTCAAAATTATGGTCCCTTCTTGGGTACCCGAAATATTAGGTGCCGTTTTGTAATAGGGATCCAAGAGGATGTACAAGGGATATTATACATATGTGCATAGATAGGTTTAGGGCTCAGGATTTTGGGATTCCGGGCTTAAAAAAGATGAGGACATATGGGGTGCTACGGGGAATTGCTGGGTTTTTGGGGGGGGCGGGGCATGATGTGGAGCCAAATGGAGAAGGACACGAGAAATGACATGGAAGCCGGGATGATAGAAGGATTGCGTGCTTAGGGTCTAGGTAGGTACATTGCCATGGTAGAAACTATAAGAGGCTATGAGCTATAGTACGGCTATAGGATGATTGCTACCTTTGGAAACAGTGTCTGGATCTGGTTCCTCATCGAGATGCTAAACATTCTAACTTGGCATTCCTTCTTAGGCTTGTTACAGCAGAAATGAAGTCTTCCTAAATTTGTCCCAGTGATTGCTTCAAAAGCTGAACGGTTCAGCACCCTAAGGCAGGGTCCCGCAAAGTACTGCGGATGGAGGGAATCTTGCACCACTTTGTGTACCTAAACTCCTGCAATGATTCCTGCAAGACCTCCTCCATCAAGGCAGCCATCAAAAATCCCGTTGCAAGAGCCCCCAGGTTCCCAGGAACTTGGCAGAGCATTATTCTCAAGCCCCGTCAAAGCCCCAAATATTTTGCAAACCCTCCACCATGGTCCCAGAAATCTTTGAAATGGCTCCGCCAATGACCACGAAGCAGAAGATGCTAGTCAGAATGTCAAAGAGTCGTTCCTCCTTGCTGTCTGCTGCCATGACAGGTGGCGACGGCGCATCCATGACGTAGCGGAAGGCATGGAGGTACTTCAGCCAGGGATCCAGTTTCTGAACTGCATCTGCATCTCCGTTCTCCAAGGCCGCAAGTGCCAACCAATTGTCACTTCGAGTTATGTAAACCCCCACGCCCACCCAAATGCATGTCATCAAGTGAGCAATCATGAATATGGCGACGGTGGTGTTTATGATCGCGACCACCAGCATGATCCACTGCCGCCCCGTGGAAGCCGCAATCTCCTGCATAAGGTCCTTGGTCGTGGGAAATCATGTCTATATGGGGGGTCCCTATGATAAGGATTATAGCATTTTGGGATCTATCTGGGGGCACTTCTCAAAGGCTCCATGAGCCCATGAGCACTTGAAGATGCAACTTGGCCATGGGGAACAGCTGAAATCCCCCTGATTTGGGGGTTGCCGGAAAGAAGGGCCCCCCACCTTTGGGGCTACATAGGCATAAGGGCACACAAGGACTACGCGAGTAGTACTTTGGGGTCGGGGCCCCCTTCAGGAAACTAATTATGATATTGTTGCTCACGTGGAACACAGCAAAACATGCTGGCTGTGCAGCGCAGTATTCGTCAAACCGCGCCATTTTCAGCAGTCGTAGCAGACGAAATGCTCGGATGATGCCTTAGTTTTTGAAATCCACAAAGCCTGACACACACAGGACTGCATATTGGCCGCATCAATCAACACTTCTTTTGCAGGTCCCGCTAGGCCATTGCTAGTTATCCCTGGTCCCTCGAGTCCAGAACCAAAACTACACAAGAGCACTCCCCTCCTCCTAGTTTCCCCCCCTCCTATCCCCTCATTGTGGTATTCTGTACTATATTGAAAAGTCCCAATATAATACAGAATACCACAATGAGAACAACAGTAGTAGGAGGGGATTCGAAATGGAGAAGGCCAGGATGCGAGCAAATCTGAGCACTGAGAAGTCCGCACCTCCGTCTTCTGCCAAGACATTTGCCAGGGTAACATAGTCCAGGGCCACAACGCAAACATCCAGCACACACCTGTGCTTTGTTAGGGGGATTCTAGGCTCCCTTAAGGGCACACATAGGCTATGGTCCTGTGCTCTTGCACAATGCCAAGGGCAAACTTCCTGCTTGCAGAACAAGAAAGTATGCGCTACTGAGGAGGGCGGCACAGACTTCAACCTCAGGAGCATTCAGCCAGGCGACCACGTCTTCAAGTAGTGTTTCACCACTTGCTTTCGATCGAGGACAAGCGTGCCCCTCTCGTAAATCGCAGTGTTAACATTCATGAAGATGTCGAGCGTCCAGAATATCACACTGGCAACGAAGTCCAGCAAGAGAAAAAAGCTGCCAGCATCTTGGGTGTTGGAGTTCCAATTGAAGGCCAGAGACAAGGGCAAAAGAATTGTGTCCGCGATGAGCAAGAGTAGGCCACAAAGATCCCAAAGAACGCGAATTTTACCTAGTGGGTGAAATAGCTTGTTTCGCACCTCGGGCTCCGACATAAAGGAGGCGGAATGCCGCACACCCTTCAGCGAGGGTGTCCGCCGATACTCTGAAAGTGCAAGCCTTGGAGGTTCACAAGTCTTTCTACTGCAGGGAGGTCTCGCACGTCTAAGGTCACCCAGCCTATATCATGATGAAGTCCCTAAGGGGCTGAATCATCCCATCAAGGGAGCTTGGGATGATGTCCGTAGTGGCACGTGCAGTACTAACATGTACTAACACCAATAATAATAATAATCTTTACTCTTCGCCTTGGCCTTAGGCGGCGGAATAATAATTGTAATACTAGTACTTGGCAATAACTGTGAGAATAACTATGAAAAGAATACAGCTAATGACTAATCCTATTGGTATTACAGTAGAATACAGTGATAATGAATAATCGTCAGATCCAAGTAGCAAAGCCTCTGCCTGCATTGACAGCTGCATCCAGCGATTATGCAGTCTCACTTCCTTCGCATTGCCAAGCAATGTAGTGGTCTGTGTCAAGGAGCTCACCGTGCCAAGCGGCCAATACCTTCACTTTTGTCCGCAAGAATGTGCTAAAATGAAAGCGCTGCTACATGGTATCAGCCACAAATCAGAAGCGGAGTGTGTTGCAAGCATCCGCCACAGCAAAAGTTGACGCACGACAAGGTAGCAGGTAGCTCTTCGCCCTGTGAGAAGGCCTCCCTATCCATCATAGATGTTCATTCTGATCATTCCGGCAGTTTGTTAGTGAAGTGCGGGAGGAGCAATTTGGTTGTCATGGGGAGATGTTTTTGGGAGCTGATCTGCCCAGTTGCCAACCAGCGCTGGCTTCGAACTTCTTTTGCCGGTGCTCAATCAACCTGAGTGCTGTGCACAGGAAGAGCATGATGGCACTCTGAGCTGGAAAAGTTTGTCCTAGACCAGCAAAGAACATGATGGGAGCATGCTTCTGATTTGGAGTCATATTGAAGTGGCCTGGTTTTGCTTTGACATCGGCGGCTGAAAGTCTGCAACCAATGCAGGAATGCCGCCATCACCAAAAATGTATGCATGCCAAGAATTCTCACATTATCTTGTCAGCTTCTCATTCTGTTGATGATGCCTTTGCTACGCCTCATCTTGCTCGTTGTTAGCTCGGAATCGAGGGAAGGATCGTTATAGCAACCTCATAGAATCATAGAATTCTCAACAGTTGAGGCGTTGATTTGTCCATTCCTCAACCCTAAACTCGAATGAAATTACTCTTCCGGTCCTCTGTACCCACAATCTATGCACCGGCATAGGCATCCCAATGCAAACAATGATTTCATTAAACCCATTGCCAAACTTTATACGTAGCAGTGGTAGTACTCACCTCAAGTTCCCTGTAGAGCTGCCACCGACCATACTCGGTGACCCTATTTTCCCGATACTTTGCACTGCTGGCAGCATGTCGAGATGATCACGTCTTCAGCCAACCGCATCACAACAGTACTAGCACAACGCCAAGATATGCAGAGTATCTGAACTTTTCATGAAACAGTAAAGCTGCTCAACTCCAGTGAAGGGTTTTGCAACATGTGGTGAGACTTTTCCAAGTCAGTGGTGCTGACATTGCCACAGGAAGCAAAAAGAAGCGCACATACCGCTTGTACATAACACAGCTGGAGGCATCTTCACCTGTTTACTGCCTTTCCTGTATTTTCACTGGACCTACCCGGGGTAACTATGTGAAAACAGCATAATGATGTTGCTTTGGGCCCGTCTTCCCCGTCGACGGCATGGTTGGCTCTCCTCTTGGCCTTTTTCTTTTATCGGGGACACTCTTTTGCCCAGTGGCTGTTTCGGGACTTCCATTGCATTGTTTCTTCTTCTTCTCACTGCTCTACCCTCCCCCGGAGGTGTTTCTCTCTTTCTCTCTCTCTCTCTGCGGTGCCAGGGGCTATTCATTGCAGAAATCAGCTAGGGCTGCGTGGAAAGTCCTTTTAAACTCCATGGATAATCGACAGTCAATTCACAATTAGTAAATCACATTGATTAATATCTAATCAGTTGAGACTATCTAGTTCATTGACCAAGTGACAAACAATGGATAATTCCAGAACCCCACCCATGCATTGCTAGGTGACACCTTTTAAGGTAGTCTTCTCTTCCGGAGTTTTTACGCCCCTGAACTTGTTATCAAAAATTCGCGGGGGCTTCCTCTTACCGGGAAGCGACTTGTAAATCATGCAGCCTAGCTGCGCCTGCGGCTCCTGAACACGCCTGGACTCATCATAGCTGGTGGTGCGGCTGCGCCGCGTACCCCTGAGCTGCAACTGATACCCTAAACCCTAAGTTCCCTGGACCGCTTGCAAAAGTTGTGCTTTCAGCTGGTTATTAGGATTGTAGATAACAGAAATTGAAAACTATCTTCAGGGAACTTCCAGTTTGAATCCCAAACCCTATGGATTGCAAGGGCATTGTGATCCTGTTCGAACTTTCATGCTACTACAGCAGCATTGCCTTGGACATCAGTCCAGTGCTTTTTCCGTCTTATGGAGTTATACTGTCCAATGAGTTCCATCTCATGAGGGTAACACCTCCCACTCCCCAATACTGTCCGTGCTCGCGCTGCACTGCCATCTCAGAGGGTAGGTGTGGGTGTGGATGTTTATTACTTGTGATTGGTGGAGGAGGGCTGATTGCACGGGAGCCACTCCAGAATATAGTGCAGAAGAGCCACGATAGAAATCAGAGCAAATAAGCAACGTACCATGCCTTTTGGTCATGAGTGTCACTGTCACAGTGAGGAAATGCGATGTCAGGATTGGCTAGGCAGGGAAAAGAACACGAAACAAAGCTACCTCTCTTTTACGAATCCATTACATGCCAAACCAGCGGCCGCACATGTGGTTGCCATTTTAGTGGACATGAATGGGATGCCACCGTCTACGCCCAAATCAACATAGTCTGGTAGTTTGGGCCCAGCATGCATGGCGGTTGAAAAATGCCTTAGCGGCCTCTAAAGCTTTCCTGACAAGCATCTCGTTTCCAACCTGGTCAACATTTGAGAGATCCTCCACTTGCTTCTTGAGCTCTTCTTCCATGCCGCTGAGCTTGCTCCTCATCTTCTGGGCGAAGGCATCAATATCGATGCGGAGCGATTGGATGGCATCCAGGTGGTTCTCTACCGCTTCAACGGAGGAAGGTTCATCGCCGGTGCACATGGCAGCCATAATGCCGATGCCGGCACTTCAGCCTCAGGCTGCTGCCTCAAAGCTGCGTGGTGCAGCGAGTGTTGGGCGGGCACACTACCATGTTTCAACCTGAGCCTGTCCAGCAGTTCACTCACCTCATATTGTTCAAGGCAAAGTTGGGTTGCCAATGCAAGCGCTCTCCAAACAAGCAAGTGTCTGATTCCAGCACCCGACGCAATGCTTGAAAAACAGCTCAGACCTATCTGAGGGCATAGCGCCGTCAGCAAGCCTTTAAGCTCCAATAGTCGCACAGCCTGCGCAACCATGGGAAAACATGATGGCTGCTCTCAGCTTTCGGTTTGTTTGCCCTGCCTGTCAGCCCCCTGTGAAGAAAAGACACCTGCCTCGTTGCCATAGAGGTTCAGGGACTGGGTTCGACACAAAAACTCAATGTCAAACAAGGCCTGCCTGAACCTGCCAGCGTCCAGTATGGTGTCCTTACCTGACACCCTACATTGAAGATTTGGCAGCGGTATGGAAACCTGGTACACCTCGTGGTACCAACACCCTTCCACCAAATCAAGTAGCTAAATGTGCCCTATGAAACACTGCACAACCTCAGTTTCGATTCAACTTTCCAAGCTTTGCTCGATTTGTTTCTCCATTATGGGGGGGTGGTCTCAATGCATCCTTGTATCATATTCCCGACACCCTAAAAAGCTAGTGTCCATTTTTGGTTGCCCATTGTCAGGAGTGTTGATGCTTATGTATCCCTACTTGAATATCATATTCCCTACGCCCTAAACGGCAGTTTTCATGTAATTTCACAGGTTCTTTTCCATGTCATTCCTCATTGTTGGCATAGTGAGCCCTGCATGTCCCTGTACAACTCCCCTTAAGCCCTAAATCTTAATGACAATTTCAATCTCATGTTCCATGTTCTTTTCCACTTGATTCTCCATCATTGGGGTAATAATCCCTATGTGTCCCTGTAGTATAACAGTCCCTTTTTGCCCCAAACCCTACATGATGGTTTCTATTGTGTTTCCCATGTTCTTTTGAATCTGCTTCTGCAATGTCAGGTTGCCCCTGCTGCAGTTGGCCATAAGCTCTCCGGCACTTTTTTTGCTAGCATCACAGCATCACAAGTGAGAGCGAATGTTCCAAGCCGTGCCCATCAGAAAGACGTACCTTGGATATGGCAGCATCAGAACACTCTGCTTGACTGTCCTAGGCCTGCAGGACAGCCAAAACGCTCCTTACTATCCAAGGTTCACATAGGCTGGAACATCCACACACATAGCCTTAGAACGGCGCCACAGTGCACTCTGCACAGTAGGCAACAGAGGCTAAGGCAGCGGACGTGTCAGCACTTCGGTTTCATCAGCACATCATGCACGCATGTACTGGCGTCCTTCAGCTTGGGTCACACCAGCACAGCATTCCTGCGAGTTCGATTCCTCAATACTAGACGTACGACTTGGTCTTGCTTACGACGCGTGTGGCCATCCCACGTTGATTGCCGAGGAGTGCGACGTATACAGCCTTTTGAGCGATGTTTACCTCCATTTCTGAAAAGCCGATGAAGCAGAGCTAACTTTCGCGAAGAACTCTGAACATGTCTGGCGCCGTGCAACGAAACAACTTGCATGAGGATGAACGAGGGGCTCGTTGATTTAGCAGTCCAACTTGTAGCTGGGTAGTTTAATAAGAAACGAAAGCACGCATTAAGCATTGTGCGTGCAGAGAAATATGCTACATGTATGAAAGCATGATGCTTCTTGCTTCATGCCCGTTACCACTCGTGCCTTACATGATGCCCAACTGCTTGGGGTCCAGGCCCTGCTTCTGAACGAAGACATCAAGAATTC